TATAAATATGTACAAAAGGTAATTAATGCCACTTTTTTTTGGAAATTGGAAAAGAAATAAAAAAAAACAGTTAACAACACTTTAATTTATCTCTGTTCTCCAAAATAATTTTTTTTATTAACCTGAATATTTAACTTGTTATGTGAATCGACTAATCTCAATACAACTATCTGTTTTGCAGGTAGCTTAGAGTCACCACAATTAAATCTCCGTGGTCACAAGAGAGATTTTTATTCTTTCTTGAATTTAAACCTAAAACCTTCAGATAATTTTAATCTTTGAAGCTAAATTCAAACCAATCAGCAATTCTGAAGTTGTGATTCTACATATTTCATAAAGACAACTTTGATCAAAAATATTTGGTTGGAGGTGAATTATTTAGAGATATTTTTTGGGCCGATTTGTGTTGAATATGAAAGGGAAAGTCCCTTGTTTTTTGGTTGGTGGGGGACATGTACGTCTTTACTCAAGTAAAAGCTATTTTTACATTTATTATTATTTAATAAATAATAATATTATAATATAAAAATTCAGATATTAAAAAAAATATCATGTGTCGGTCGCTGGTACTGAGAATGAGTACTCATTGATTTTCCATCATTTTATAATTTTAAGTTGTAAATAATATTAATAATTGCAAAATCATTTTTGTGATTTGGAAGTTGAAATATTATATTCTCAATAATGTATTCTTATTAATATTTTGAATTTTCCAAAGATTTTTTTTTTGTGTTTTTTTTCTTAATTTTAAAACTCCTACTTGATTAAACATCAAAACTCAAAACCACAAAGATGGTATCCGATTGGTTTTAGTTTGAGCTCCAAATGTCAAAAGTGGCTGAAAGTCCCATGTTCGAATCCAAAGAGGAATAAAAATCCATTTTGTGGTGACAGAAGTTCGAATGCAGTGACTCTGGACTACCCGCATAACGGATGGTCGTCCTGAGATTAGTCGACTCGCATAGCGGGTTAGATATACAGGTTAATAAAAAAAAATCACTAATCGTTAGTGTTTTGAAATTTAAGTAAACAAAGTTACATGTATTAATGATAAATGTCCCTTTGCAGACAAATTAATGTTGATAAAACACCGAAATTGTCTTTTTTTTCCAAAGTTCTAAATGACGTGAAGTATAGTGTGACGGTAAGGTCAGACCTCAGATCTTACAAGTTACAACGAAGCCACAACGTTTTTCAAGCGTGCTCTAAGACGATACATGTATACACGTATATGTATATTTATACACATGTGTGCACTAATGTTTTGAATAATAGCATAGAACAATTAGAATTCATTTAAAGTTATAAAAGTAAATGGGAAAGAATAACCATTTATGCCACAAGTCGGTTATCCCTATGATAACTTTTCTATCAAATATATCAAGCTTGTAAAGAAATAATATGAAGAATGCAAGCTATGAGTTTAAAAGAAGTAAAAAAACGCATGTCTTACAAAATACTGCGTCATAACATGTTACAACGGAAGTCAAGCCTTAGAGTGGAGAAACAAGGGTTAACGTGGCGGCGAAGTCAAGCCTCAGTGCCATTACGAGTTATTTAGAGAAATGTTTCTTTCATACAAGTGTAGCAGTTGAAAAGGGGGTGGTTTTGGACCAAAAAGCTTCCCGTACGAGACTAGCCACAATGTAAGTAATGGGGCTTGATTTTACATCTATTTGGAAAGACCGCACTACCCTAGGCTAGGTCGTGGTAGTTGTCAAGTTTCGCCAATTTGAGCCCTAACCCCACTAAATCGACGATACTTGTCACTACGGGTATAAAAGGACTAGAAGAAACCGTTTTTCATCATACATGGACATCAAGAACAACAAAGAGGAGGATTTAAAACAGGGTTCGCTCACATTTTCTAACGATTTCAAATTCAATATTCATTAATCTTTGCTAGTTTATTTCAAGTCAACCATGCGTGGTTGATTTTATTAGTATTCGACAATGGTTTGCCAACATTTGACTCATTTGGATGTTATGATATGGTGTTGATTAACTGGATGCTATGATATAACGTTGATTAACTGCTATTGTTTTAGGATTACTGTTATTGACTTCTTTATGCAACACGATCACTTGTTTAAAGATCTGATAGCAAATGCGAAATAGTTAAGATACCTAAATCTGTAACTGTTTAGGAGTTTGATGCGAAATAGTTAAGATACCTAAATCCATCAAATGAAATATCATTAGAATACAATGTTAATGATTCTCATAAGTAGATGATTAATGTCATTTGCTGAAAGATGAAGGGTGGTTTTTGTAATTTTGGATACACGCGCTTCTAATGGTGTAAAGCAAGTGGTAGCTTGGCTTGGCATACAATAAAAATAGAATCAATAAATCTGACGACAGGAACAGCTCGCCTTACAGCTAACGCAATTATGTACGCCGGGTCTCACATATATTGGCTCAAGCCAAGCCGTCTCCCAATCTTTATTAAATTGTTTTTTTTTTTTTGTGTCAAACTGATTAATATGTTTATTAAATTACCAAAAAGTAATATATATTAAAATAAGTGTAATTAACTATAATTAGAAGTTGTTGAAAATCATTTAATTTGAGTTTAATAATTACAATAATCTATGCCATTTAGGGGCTGTTTATCAAACACTTACCCGAAAAGTGCTTATCGACTAAAAATAATACTATCATTTACTTATCGGGTAAGATTTTAGTTCATCGAAACGACATCGTATGCAACAATTTACCTGGTAAGCACTTACCGTGGTAAGAGTTGTTGCCCTCAGTTACCGGGTAAGACTCTTGGTCCTTGTTTTGCTCTTACTAGGTAAGATTCTTGGTCCCTACCATATTCATCCGATAATGTAATGTGATTTGGTAAGCGTTTATTCGGGTAGGCATTTGGTAAACGACCCCTTACTCTCTCCACCTTAAAATAAATGTTTATATTATTATTTATATTTATCTAAAAATAAATGTCTACTTTTTTGTTCTACCCTTAATTATGTGATAAAGAAAATTTATCTCTCTATAATAAAGGGTAAAATTATTTTTATTAATTAAAAATTGTAACAATTTAGTTTTTAAACTTCATATTTGAACTCCATAAAACTAACTTATAAATACATTTAATACATAGGGGGTGTTTGAGATTGCTTATTTTAGGTGTTTTTTGACTTATTTCAGTTTGACACCGGTGATAAGCTAAATGCTAGTGTTTGGATGAGAAAAAATAAAACTGCTTATACTAATGCCAAACCGGTAATAAGCAATTTTTGATAAGTTAATCCTCCATTACTTATGAAAAACTGCTTATTACCAGTTTACCATTTTATCCATGTTTTATTAATGTTTGTTAATTATTAATCTTATTTGATATAAATTATTAATCTTATTGATATAAATTTTTGTCAAATATATGATTATAAATGATGAAAAATAAGTTTTTACATATTAAAAAATCAAACAAGTTAATAAGCAATCCCAAACACTCTCATAAGTCAATAATATGTAAGACTGTTCTTTTTGATCATTTTACATATACAAACAAAATTTGTCAAACACTAAAAAATAACTTATCAGCTTATTATTTTTTGGTACCACTATAAGTTAATCCAAACAAATTTTACAAAACTCCAGTTTAATACCACATAAATTAATAAGCACTTTTACAAAAAAAAAACATAAGTTACTTTAAATAAACAATCTCAAACACCCCCTAATAAGCACAGAGCTATACTAATATAATATATATTTTATAAAATTCATGACTTTTATGTTAAATTATATTACTTCTTTATTTTTAACTTACAATAATATTTTACATTTATAAAAATAAATATATAATATTATAAACAAGGAATAAAAGGCATTAAATAGGGTGTAGATAGGGACTTTTTGTTTCTATACATATGATTTGGACTATTCAACGTTTTTACTTGTGATTTTATTTAAAGCTTATTATTTTATGGTAGTTATTTAAACTTAATATTAATGTATTGTTATTATTATACTATATTTTAAATTTTTAATTAATTATGTATTAAAATGATAGTTAATTTATAGATTTAAGACAATAGGGTTTTAAACTTTTTGGAAAAAAATTCTGAAATTACTTTATAATAAAAATACTATAGTTGAAAAATTAATTTAATTTCCTTATTTTCTTGTAGAGTAAGTTACGATTTTCGTCCCGTTGGTTTGTTGATAATTTGGATTTTTTTATAGTTTGTATTTTATCCTATTTTCATCTGTGCACTAATTCGTATCTTTAAGTATAAGAGAGGATAAAACAGTAAATAATTGTAAATTACAGAGACCAAAACAATAATAAATTATAAATTATGAGGGCGGAAAATAATAACAAAATCATAGAGAAAAAAACTACAATTTCTAAATCATAAACAGGGACGGACCCATAAATTATTTCAAACGGTGACACAAAACCTTTTCAATTGGTGACACTATTTGACTAAGAAAATGACATTAACACGATTCGAACTTGGGTATGGGGTGGAATAAAAGCCTTGCAAACTGTACCAAATAAAATTTGTTCTCATTGTAGTTTCAAAATACATACGATGACACACAACCGATTAATATGGTTGCACATTTCATGAACATAATTTTTTTTTACCGTTCGACGGAGGAATAATACGTGCCACCTTAACCACCAAAGTAGGTCCGTCCCTAACCATAAAAATGAAAATGACAATTTTAACAAACCACGATGACAAAAAGCATAATTTGCTTTTTTTATTATGTTTACAAGGGTTAAAAAATTAATTTAATTTTCTTATTTTCTTTCACAAATGATAGTGGCATAGCAGGTGAAATGGGAGAATGATCGCGGCTAATGTAGTTAAGCCGTTTGTGAAGCCAAGCCGTATGAGAACCGCAACAAGTCTTTTTGTCCACCGTGTGGCCCCCAGCCAGCCTGTGCATTCCTCTACTTAACTCATAAAACGACATCACCGCTTGCCGTTTCACTTTCATCTCTCTTCCCACCACCTGTCTTCTCTCCCAGTTTTAATCCCACCCAAACCCTAGAGAGAGAAACTACTCTCCATCACGTTTTAGTCAGAGAAACTCGAACGATCCATCACACATTTTACTTCATCTAGAGAGAGAAACTGTACTTCTTGATCTTCTTCTCTCAGTTAAGCGCCATGGATTCTCAGGTCTATGGTGCATTAAATCTCATATTCTTCTTTCTGGTTTTTCCGGCAGCCATTAATGTAAACGCATTGCCGTCACAGAATTCCAAATCAAACTCGACACAGATCAATTCCAACTCCGTTCTGGTAGCTCTTCTCGATTCGCACTACACAGAGCTGTCGGAGCTCGTCGAGAAAGCCCTTCTTCTACAGACGCTTGAGCAAGCGGTTTCTAATCATAATATCACCATTTTTGCACCAAACAATGAAGCTCTTGAGAGACAAATGGATCCTGAGTTCAAACGGTTCTTACTTGAGCCACGGAATTTGAAGTCTCTGCAGAATCTATTGCTTTACCATATCATTCCATCTCGGGTCGGGTCAAATGAATGGCCCGGAAAAGATGTTGCTCATCATAAAACACTTTGTGTTGATGAATCAGACAACCATTTGCCGCTGACCCGTGGAAATTCCGGCGAGAAAATGGTCGGTGGTTTAGCTAGAGTTGTTCGACCCGACGATGTCATCCGACCCGACGGATTGATCCATGGGATTGAGAGATTGTTGGTGCCTCGATCAGTACAAGAAAACTTCAATCGGAGAAGAAGCTTGAGTTCTATTTCCGCTGTTTTACCCGAAGGAGCTCCGGTTGTAGATCCGAGAACCCACCGCTTGAAAAAACCGGCTAGTCCTTCTCCCGCCGGTGCTCCACCGGCACTTCCGGTATACGACGCAATGGCTCCAGGTCCATCTCTTGCTCCGGCACCAGCCCCAGGTCCCGGCGGTGCCCGCCGCCACTTCGATGGCGAGAGCCAGGTGAAAGATTTCATCCAAACCCTCCTCCATTACGGCGGATACAACGAATTAGCAGACATTTTGGTGAATCTAACGTCGTTAGCGACGGAGATGGGGAAATTAGTGTCGGAGGGCTATGTTTTAACGGTCTTAGCGCCGAACGACGAAGCCATGGCTAAGCTGACCACCGACCAGCTCAGTGACCCTGGTGCGCCGGAGCAGATAATGTACTACCATTTGATACCGGAATATCAGACAGAAGAAAGTATGTATAACTCAGTACGGCGGTTCGGGAAGGTCCGTTATGATACTCTCCGGCTGCCGCATAAGATGGTGGCGGAGGAGGCCGATGGGTCGGTGAAGTTTGGTCAAGGAGAGGAATCAGCATATTTGTTTGACCCGGACATTTATACCGACGGGAGGATATCGGTGCAAGGTATTGATGGTGTTCTTTTTCCGGTAGAGGACACAGCGGAGGCTCCATCTAGCAAGGCTGCACCGACGACGGCGCGTAAGCTTGTCTCAAAGCAAAGGAGAGGTATGTTTCTTTCGAGATCCTTTGACTATGAAAAGTCAAAATAGGACCCTTTTTCATGCAGTGGTTTATTGTACTTCATTCATTCATAGTTGTACATTTACATTACTAAAAGAAAACAAATCACCACCCCAAAAATCCACCCAAATCCCAGCTGTATATCACACATTCATACTCCTTCAATACTTGTTCTTTATGCATCAAGACTTGTTCATTGTGCCTAAGGCTTATTCATTATGCATAAAGGCTTGTACTTTATGAATCAAAGGCTTATTCATTGTGCATAAAGGCTTGTACTTTATGGATCAAAGACTTATTCATTGTGCATCAAGTCTTGTACTTTATGTATCAAGACTTATTCATTGTGCATTGAGACGATACAAAAGTCATGTTCTATTAATTTAGTGGTACAATTGTGCATGCATCGATGAATAATCCTTCTAAATTGTATTTTTGTTTTTATTAAATGCAGGGAAATTAATGGAAATGGGATGTAAAATAGCTGGAGCACTTGGACATAGTTGTTGATGTCTTATTTTTATTTTCGTGAAAATTACACAAAGACAAAAAGGGGGAAAAAGAAATCAAATACAGAGATGCAGCAAAAGGTTTGTATTTATTTGTATTTAAATATGCTTTTTCTATTAAAAAAATAATAATATTTTCATTATTTATTTACCACGAAATAATAAATAAATATTATTTTTTATTGCAGTTTTTAATAGGAAGATTCTGTCCAAATACCACAGATAAAAGGGACATGGACGGTGAAGATTGCATTTCCCCAAACATGAACAAAGTTTGCTTTTTTTTTTTTCTTTTTTTTAAAATTATATTACTATAAATACTGTAATTACCATAAATGATTTTTTGTTGTATTTATTTATTTGTTTTGCATAAATATACCATCTTTCCTCGTGAGGTGTATTTTGAAAATAATTATCTGATAATGAATAATCATAATCAGATAATTAGTTGTAATAAAACATAATCAGATTATTAGTAGTAATCGATATATTTATTTGTTTGCGTTACACTACTTGTGTATCCCTGCAATGCAGTGTGCCAACATGATATAAATTTGAATGAAGAAAGACATATTTATGTTTTACTAAGAATGATTAAGAGTCTCTTTGTTAGCAGCTTAATGAGACGTACAACTTATTCGATTAGTTATACATGACCGTTTGGTAATGACTTAATGATAGAAAAAAAAATGTTAATTCAATAAGCTTATACGTGGAGCTTTCTGCAACTTTATAGAGAAAACTAATTTTTTTAAACATGTCATTCTCAACTAAAAAACATGTTCCTTTTATTTATAAACTCTCAAAGAATATTTTTATTCAATCTATACAGACATATTAATTCATACAGGCAAAACTTAATGAAAAACCAATCAAACAACATATTCAAATTATGGTTAAAGTAATATTATATTAGTCGAAGTTGTCAAAATATAGCATTATTAATCGACAAAGAAAGGGAACCAAACTAAAATGTGTACACGTTTTGGTTGATAATGACTCAAATTTTGATATATATATTTAAGGTTGTCTTGGATGATTATATTTGTATGTTTAATAATTGTTGATTAATAAGAAAGAGAAAGAAAAGTGATTGGTGGATGGCTTTGATGGCAATAATTGTGGATTGTGATGGCAATGACATGTTACCTTTTATTCATGGAAATCAACACAACTTCACTTATAAGCTAACTCCATCACTTTATAACCTCATGCTACATGTGTCTCTATTTAATACCTTCACTTTTTCTATTGCAAAATTAAATTATATATATATATATATATATATATATATATATATATATACATAAGACTGGTTCAAATATTAACCAAGATTATCGTGTTAATTTTGTTATCCGATCTTAGTCGTTGATTTGAACATCCAACGGTTGTCATTTATTGAGACTAAAAATTTAATTATTTAATTACCATATTAATAAAAAATTAAGTTCACAATGGTTCAGATGGTAGAATTGTAAAAAGTGAATGATCTTAAAGAAACCGTCAATCTCATCGATCAATATCTTAAATCAGTAGCTAAAAATTAGGTTCATAATCTTCATCAAAACAATGGAGGATTTGGAAGGGTTACTAGGCGACGGCATCCATATAAGATTGAAACATGTGTGTGAACCTAATGAACAATGTGTGAACCTAATAAACAATTGAAAAATTAGGTTCATAATCTTCATCAAAACAATGTGTGAACCTAATGAACAACTGAAACATGTGTGTGAACCAAATGGACATATTGTGTGAACCAATTGAACACATATGTCGACGCTTGAGTGAACATGTGCGTGAACGGTTTGATCATTTTCTTCACTTTCGGAATTCGAATTCCGAATGTATTCGTAGACGCTTTTAGCTTTTTCATTCTCATTGTCGTCGATCTGTTTTACTCTATGATTATTCATATTACTCGGACTATAACGGAATTTTTACAGAAAAAACTTTTTTGAAATTTACAATATCAAAATCATTGTAGAAAGAATGAAATGTAAAAATCAGTAAGATGAACAAATATGAAACTTCATGTCATTATTACATGAAGATCAATTAGTGATATTTTAAGATTTGTAACTCCCAATTAAAATATTAGGGAGTTACATAAAAATGACAAATTACCTAAATACCCTTACACTTAATATGTGAGTTACATTTGAACATAACTAAAAGATGTAACATGATTGGTTGATGTTGGTTAGCATAGTTAACACAAAAAAAGGGTTAGTATTTGAACCAACCTCTATATATATATATATATATATCCTCTATATATATATATATATATATATATATATATATATACCATTTACATTTGTACAACCAATACAACCCAATCTTAACCGTCCATTTAATTTGATGAATATGTGATTTCATAGAAGTTTTGATTGTTTTCTAATATCAAGTATTGATCATAATTAATGAACCATATTCATATTCCATAAATATTCAAATCATARTAAATGAACTCTTATTATTTCCATAAATATCTCAATTAATTGGGTTRMATTGGTTGTACAAATGGAYATGGTTGCATTTGAAATATACCCTATATATACATATACATATATATATATATAGAGAGAGAGAGAGAGAGAGAGAGGGGCTGCTAAAATGAAAACAAGGTGAAAGTAATAAAACACAAACACACGTATACGGTCAAAGCACACGGTAAAACCAAGGATATGTGTGCAATTTAACCCCAACTCTCTTATATATAATAACATGTGATTGGTTTGTTACTTTGATTATCTTATCATTTAAACTGAAATAAATAAATATATATATATATATACACACACATACATATAATAGGGAAGAGTTCAAACGAGAGACTATTGACAACCTTTGGCCCGACCTAGCTTGCAGGTCAAGTCGTCTGTACATTACTAGGTCTCTTCACGACTATTATCACATGAGATAATAGTGTTGTTGATGTGATACTGACACGAACAATCTTTGACGCGACCTAAGTCACAAGATACGTTGTCGGCATGCCACCAGGTTCTTTCACGTGTATTATCACATGTGATAAAACCGTTCTTTCCGTTTTCATAAAATGAAAGTGTTCTCGTTTGTACCTCCACCTATATAAGATTGGATTTATAATCACACATATAATCACAATTAAAAAAAAAACAAAGATCAAATATGATAGTTTAACCACTTGCTTACGTTCACAACTTTCTTTAAATCTTATTATTTAAAAATAATTAAAATCTCGTATATTTAAAAAAGAAGCGATTCTACAAGTAAAAAGGTAAAATCCAAAAAGGAAACGAGGGAAAAGTATGAGTATAATTGGGTTGAATAGATGCAAAGTAACAATTTAAAGATGGATCAAATTACGTTCATTTAATTCCAACCTCATAAATAATGCTTTTATTTCATTATTTTTTATTAATAAATAATGTTTATAATCACACAAAAATAAATAAAAAAGACAAAATAGAGTGATTGGCATAAAGAAAGTGACCAAATATTTAATTTTTTAAAAAATCCCTTTTTAATTTAAATAATTTGGAGTGTCGGTGGACAACAAGGTTCGTTCAATTTTCTTTTAATTTAAAATGCTTTAAAAATAAGAAATATTACCTTTTTATACATAAAATTTATTTAAGAAAAAGCAAACTATTTCTAGGTTAGTGCTATATATACAAATTATTTTAATAACCGATTGAATGGATGTCACTTACTTTATCTATAATCATGGTAATGATCGAAAATATTACCTAGTAAAAGACATAACAAAGATCAAGAATCTTATCCGGTAAAAGATATTTACCATAATTATTTTGATGGTTGAAAATGTTACCCGACAAAAGTAAGATGACTTTTATCAATAACATTTACTGAATAAGTGTCTGTTAATGGTCCTTATCGTAAAGTTTTCTTCTGATTCTAAATATTTTTTAAAAATGAAATATATAATTTAAAACATGATTTTTTTTAAAAAAAATAAGGAGAAATTTATATCGAATTTGGTATAATTTGTATGACCTTTGAATATATTTTTATAATTTAATGAATTGTTTACATAACTTCTTATTTTGTTACAAAATTAAATAAAAGTATTGAATTGATTAAATATATTTTAAAAAATAAATGAACTGAAATCAATACCCATTAATTGTTACTGTAACATATCCATGTGTTGTTGTGTAAATCATTTTGATTATGAAGTCGATAACAAGATAATATATTAATATTGTTTTGAATTTTATTCTATTCTTTGTCCTTCTCGATGCTAATTTTATAGTTTAATGTGATTTTAAATCATAAATCATATGATTTATAAATTCAAAGTTAAAATGTTCAATAGTCAAATATTTTGAAATAGAATAATTCAATAACAATGTTTTTAACCCAAAGTATTTGTTGTTCTTGACTTTTTAAGGTCGACTTTATGTATTGATTAGCGGTTTATAGTTTTTACAACTTGCAATTAAGAAATAACATTTACAATCAGATTATCCTTCTTCCGGATTAGCGTGACCCGAGACATGTATTCCAAGGCGATAACTATGAGGTCTTTCACTCAACCATTTGTGAGAACAGTTTTTTAGCAGTTTGTGATGGTTTTATAACAAATTACAAACAATTTAAGAAGTATAAAAAAATTCTTGACGCAACCTCTTAAGCGAGATGATGTAAAATAATTCTCCGGGAAGCTTAAAATCTTTAGATCTTTGCATTCTAACGATCTCTACAGTAGGAGAACGTTTGACTCCTACTATCTTTGAAAGCAAGTCTGCATGTGTCTCCTCAATAAGAGGATAAATGAATGAGTTGGTATATTCAGATATAGATGAAAATGTCTTAGGAATTTCTGCGAACAGGCAAGGAATAGATGAAAAAGAAATGGAGTTGTGTTAAATGTGACATGCACATCAGTAAGAGACCAAGAAAACACCACATCAACGAGATCTGGAAACTTGTTTTCAGGTTTCTTCTTATCTGTATCCGTTGCCATTGACCAACATTGTTCATGTAGTGACCCTTTTCGGACTTGTTTGTTTCCTTTATGTAAGCAGTCAGAAACAGGTAATCAAGAGAGTGTCGATGGTGATTAGGGTTGCATGTTTGCCTGTAGGGTAATTAATGACTACATATCAGAATTAATGTGTAGGAATGCATGCAAACTTTTAGTACATAAACCAGGAAAAATTAATAGATATAAGAGAAGAAAGCAAGTTAACCCTTCAAGTCCTTGGTGTTAAGATTTAAGAAGCAGACATGCAGCTAAAACGGAACCTTAGAGAAGGGAACTGAACTAGTATCGAGAGAGAGAGAGAGAGAGAGAGAGAGAGAGCACTCAATTTCTTGTTGTGGTGGGTATGGAGAGACATTAAGGAGGGTTGCGGTTTTGAAGGAGGCTGATTGGAGGGGGACAATTGAGGGAAGGGATGTGGGGTTTATGAGCAGCTTTTAGGATGTGGTCGTGGGGTTAGGAGGTACTCAAGGGCGGGAGAGATTCAAAGGGGTGGTCGTTAAGGTTTAACCAAGCTTAACAAGTTGTACATGATGCTTGAAACTTTGTACCATTTAAATCTCAACAGGAAACTACTATCCTTGCTTTATGTGTATAATAGATATATGATTATACATTTTTAATATAATAAACGTGTAAAATGAAAATGTATGAATATAAAACAAATTAATCCGTAAATATTCATGATATTTAATAGTATTTTTAAATTAAAAAATCAATATTAAACTCAATTTGAAGGTATTAGCGAAATGATTATAATTTGCAAAAAATAAATGCATTTTAATTCATATACGATTATTTATGTTAATATGATAAGTGTATGAAAATGAAAAAAAGTAGGAGATATAAAGTAAAATCAAATCGCTGATTATAAGGGTATGAAATGTAATTTAAAATTGAAAATGATTTGATGGAAAATTATGGGAGATTGTGAGTTTTAAGAACTTCTACAACATCTTTAATTGATTGTACCTCTTAAAAATTCAAAATATCTGTTAGTTTTTAATATAGGATAGAAGCATAGATATTAAAAAAATCAAGATTTAGATTTTACTAAAAACGTTTAAATTTTACTTTTGAAACAATTTAACGAAAGTGTAAAACATAATTTAATAAAAATTAATTATTTTAAGAATTTCAAAACGTGGATATAAATAAAATTATATTTAATTAAGATAATAAAAAACAAAATTAATATATTTACTTTAGAAGGAAAAAATATTTTAATTTAATTATTGGACAATAATTGTCCTACTTTTCCTTTTTCTCTCCTTTTTTCCATCTCTAATTCTTTTCTTTTAAAAAATAATTAAACTTTTAAATCATCAATTCACATGGATTTTTTTAAACATAATTTTACAAAGATAATAAATTTGGGTTAAATTGTCTTGGGGTACTCCTTTGCATGTTTTTATGGTTTACAATTTATTGTTATTTTATATTTGTTATCAAAAACTAAAAGAGTTGTTTAGTTTATATTGAGGAATAAAAATGAGAATGAATTTTCATTTTTTTGGGTTAATCTGGAATAAAAAATTGGGCTTCTAGTAGAATGAGCCCATTATATTATATAAAATCAAACAATTTTTTTTTCATTCTCATCAATTACTGTTTAATACCTTTTAATCAAACATCCCTTAAATCTTCACGTAGCTCTCTTCCCCGGCCAAGGCCGTTGTCGAGTCGAGCGAAGCCTTCACCTGGAGACGCGATAATGGCCACAGTGATCTCGACTAAATCTGCTTTGTTAGACGGTTGTTGATCTGTCATAGTTAGTGAAAATGGCAAGTGAATCATGCTCTGATACCAAGTGATGCAGCGGAGATTTGCGTAAGGATCGACAAGCGTCTAAACCCTTTTAAGATAACAAGTCTACCAGCACAACACTCGAAAAAGAACTTTCAAGGAGAAGAATTGTATTAATTTCATCAAGAAAAAGAATCAATCTTGAGAACCAACAAACGGAAACAAGAGAACCAAAAGTTAGAATTTTGATGCCTGTGAGAAGTAACAAGAAACAAGCTGCTGCTTTTGCAGATCAACAAACAAAAGATTCATCATACATCATGATATAAACTTCCCCTTTCCTTATACAGAAACAATCCTCACTCTATTCACAACACAGAAGAAACCTTCACACCAAAAACCTATTTACTACACCTATTCAAACATGATGCTAACCTCCGACGACCACCCCATTGTCGCCACCTGTCATATCTTGATTGGTCGCTTCCTCTGCTGCTGCTGCTGCTGCATTCTTTTCAGCACTCACTTCTATCCAATCTTCACCTTCAATAGGATTTACAGATGGGACTGCAACTTCCACAAAGTTCTCATCCTTTTCTTCATCTTCTTCTGGTTCGATTTGAATCTTGGAAGGTGGGCTTTTGGTTTTGGATGTTCTGATTGGTTTCTTGGAAGTAGCAGTGTCTTTCTCAAGATTGGCCTTACTTGAAGATGAAGATGTAGTTTGGTCCCTAACTCGTGGCCTCGCACCAGTTGTGGTTCCTTCCAGGGACCGGCTTACAGCAGCCACAGAGCTCTTATTTCTCCCCAGCTTTGGAGATTTCGGACGAGTGGTTGGTATCTACATAAGAAGATAAAACCACAAAATGATTTTAAATACACATAGGGGACGTTTGATTAGTTTTCCATTAATAACTGTATCGATAAAGCTATGTGCGGATTAATATGTCTGTGTAGATAGGAAGATTTTTGTTTCGGAGGGTTTTTCATAGATAGGAGGTGTTTTATTTTAATTTGAAAGGACATGTTTGGAAGAAAAAAAACTTGGCTTTCTACATAAAGCTTCCCCCTTAAGAAGCTTACTGAATAAGCCACTACCAAAAGTCATGTATAGCTGACCGAATAAGCCGAGTCCCATTAAGTTCATTAAGCTGCAAACAAACAGACCCATAGATGCGTAAATCACCAAGGGTCTCTTGAACTCCACGCTCCCTACCTCCTTCCCCTATATACATCTTCTCACCTATGAATGGGGATATTCCCGAAACTGAATAAGCCACTACCAAAAGTCATGTATAGCTGACCGAATAAGCCGAGTCCCATTAAGTTCATTAAGCTGCAAACAAACAGACCCATAGATGAGTAAATCACCAAGGGTCTCTTGAACTCCACGCTCCCTCCCTCCCCTATATACATCTTCTCTCTTACATACATGTGTAAATCACAAAAAGGGTATATATTCCATATCATTAAGCCAATGGGTTCTTGCTCTGCGAGGACCGCTCCTTTCAACCAAAAATGTGGAGACACCTCTATTATATTCATTATAATATTAACATAATGACAAAATCTCATACCACCGTCCCATGATTTATAAAAAAAAATTAATTAATTACCAACTTCTACCAACATAAATTAGTTATCAACTTCTAATTATTGTTATAATTTTTAATTATTGCCTTTTAATTATTATTAGTTATGGTAAGTAAATTTGACCATTATAATTTTATATTTTTGTAGGTTTTATTATATAAACCATGGATCGGTCCATGATTGGGCGTGAAAGGTTTACGAGACATTTATGTAAAATATAACGGGCATAATTGGAAAAAGGTGGAAAAAAACCTCGAGCTTAATACTACCAGAAGTGACTTTTCAAAAAATTCGCTTATAAGTTAGCTTATGGCTTACCAAATAAAGCTTTTTTCAAAAAGCTCTTAATATAAGTTAATTTATGGTTGCCAAACATACCCTTCAATTTAAGGACTAAACCTAGCCATTCTCGCACAAATGTGCAAGTCACAAAATAGCAGAAGGAAAGATAGCAATTTGATGCAAGGCTCGGTTAAGGGAAAAATGGCAAAATATACATAGTATAGTTTTCCAATGTGCCAATAAAAGCAAAAACTCAAATATTGATATAGATACCACATTTAAGTGAGAAGAGTCAAGAAGACTTTGCCATCAATATCAAGTTTCTTAACCTATATACAACAATTTCCAGTGGGATGATTTAGGGGTCGATTACCAAATGTTTACATGGGTATGCGCTTAACAAGTCACATTACCTTACCGATGAATATGGCAAAGGCTAAGAATTTTTACCCGGTAAGTGAGAGCGACGACTCTTACCACGGGTAGCCCTTACCAGGTAAATTGTTGCATGAATACTTTTTTGGTGGACTAAAATCTTACCCGGTAAAGAAGTGATAATGTTGAATATTTTCGGTAAGCACTTACCCGGGTAAGTGTCCAGTAAACGACTTTAGACTTTTAGGTCAAATATAATGCTTTCTGAGAAGGAACGTACAGAAAAGCTCAAGACTTTCTATGTGTGTTTTGACTTTTTGGAGAATTTCAAGCTTCCTCTCCTACTTTCTCCATTTTGGAGGAAGTTTTAGAGAATCTCTTGGAGTCTTGGAGCAAAAAATTTGCCCGAAATCCCCATTTTCTCCGATTTAGAGAATCTGTTCCAGATATGCTCTTATGATATCTAAGGAATTTATGAGAATTTAAAAGCTGGAAACCTGTTTATTTGACCTTAAAAGTTATATTGCATCTTTTCAGGAGGAGGAGGGTGAGGGTGAGGGTGGGGGTTGGGGGTGATGCATCTTTAGGACATGAAATTGGACTTTGTATAATATAACTCAAAACTAGAAGCTAAGCCACACAACAAATCCATGGTAAGATACCTTCTTCAGCTCCATTTTCGGAGGGGGGGTTTTGTAAAAACTTGGCATTGGCGTAGCTTTAAATGTCAAGCTCTTCCTCAATTTCTTGATCTCTGCTTCTTGGCTTTCCTGCATTCGTACCCCCACTAAGTTAAAATCATCGATTGACAAGAATTTCATCGAGCAAAGAGTTCAAGATCCAAAACCTTTGACTTTTCTTGCAAATTCGTCTTCTCCACTTCCTTTGCATGAGTCTTTTCCTCTAACTTTGAATAGAACTAGTGCACAAACATCGAACATGGTTGATTTTACCATTTTTGTTAAGTAAGTAACTGAAGAAACACCATATGTACCTCTCTTCGCTTTTCAGCACGTTCATCCAACCTGAAAGAAAAGCCGGACGCGCTGTTCCTGCGTTGCCCACTTGGAGCAACGTCATAAAAGAAAATTCCACAGAAAAGTCAATTTCTTGAAATCCAGAATAGAAAGTCAAACAATTTAAGAAAAGCGACAACTAAATAGAGAAATATACGATGAGGCAGTGGAACGAGCGTCATCATCCTCTCTGACTGGCACTGCAGTTTTCACTGGTATTAACTGTTGATCAGTTGATCTGCAATTGCAAAACAACCTCAAAATCTTTATGGTTATCAAATAACTGGTGTAACTCCATCGGCATATCAGTGTGTCAAAACCATAAATAAATAACTAGGAGAAACCAAACGATATTTTTCCTTAAATACCCCTGATATATCTTCTTAGTCTCTAGGAAGAAAGTTTAAATGTTGCATGGCTCACAAGGGTAAAAATGGGATAAAATCTTAGAATGGTTACCAGATGACTCTAATACTTGCATTCTTTAACAATGCACCCCTAATCTTCCTTCCCCTATGAAGGGGTTTTGAATGTTGAATAGCTTCAGATGAATCCGATACTTACATTCATTAACAGATAAATAGTATTCATTATGCACCCCTAACCATTCTTCACATATGAATGCGTTTAGAACATTGCATAGCTTACAAGGGCAAAAATCACATTAATTTCAAAATGGTCACCACAATTGATTTGCACTTCTTGAACAAATATGCAATAACTTAAGCACTAAGATTTCACAAAGGAAGGAATATTATATTCTTCAACTTACATGGAGCCTTCAGAAGGAGGGTAGTCTTCACTTCCATTGGATTTTCTAGTCTAAAACAAACAAACAACCAACAATATACACTAAGAATACGCCGAAATAAACAAATAACTAAAAGGGCATCCGATAAAAGATAGAAAATTTACCCCAGACTTGCTCCCACTTGGCACCGAATCTAAAGTGGCTCTTCGGGTAGCCATGTCACCATTCTTCGCACTCAATTCTGTTGGTTTCAGTTTCACTCCACCAGAAACTCTCCTAGAAGCTGGTGTAACAGTTCCATTGGTTGAAGTGGCTTCACTTTTTGATCCAACTTGTGGTTTGACCGGGTGCCCATCAATGCTAGTCCTCATTGAATCCGGGTTCCGGGTTTTAGCTGAAAAAGATGAACTCTGAGACAGACTTGGCCTTGGCTTGCGAGCCGATGACCTAGAACTAGAACTAGGGCCATTTTTAGCTACTTTATTGTTCTTTGAAGTAGCCTCATTAGTAACAATCTTGGTTGAACTTTGCTGTCTGGTGTCATCAACATTCTCAGAAGTTTTTATAACTCCAACTCTGTTTGATCTTTGAGAATGTGGCTGTTCGCCATCGTCCTTTTCTTGATCTTCTTTAACATCAATGGCGGCAACACCACTTCCCTCTTCCAATGGAAACTCATTACCAGATTCCATTCCTATCAAGAATTCATCCAAAAACAGAAATCAAACGCAATTTAGTATCGTAATCGATGAATTATAACATGATGAATGGAATCCGATCAAATTTGGACCAAGAAATACTTGTATATTGTTTGATCACATAATCTTGTGATTTTAGTTAAAACCCACAAAAACTATAAGAGTCTAAGCAGCATCAAGAACGAACTTTCACTTTTTAGGGTTTTAAAACGATGTAAATTGATTGGAGAAGTTTCAATGCGAGTGTTGTCGTTTTCTTGTAAGACAAAATGAAGAACATCATCAGGAAAAGGTATTCTTTCAAATAATTTTTCAATAAATACAAGCAAAACGTTCTAAGAGCGAAGCAACAACAAAGATCCAACAAAATCGAGTAGGAAATACAGTTGACCCAGAAGTCGAAACTGTAAAACATGGTGAAATTGGAGCAAATTTCAATAAATAAAAAACGAGTAAGATCAATAGAGGAGGGAGCTGTACCTGTTTAATGAATCTGAATGGAATTCTTGAGTATTGAATTGGGGTTTTTGAGAAGAAGAAGAAGAAGAAGATTTAGCGTTGAAATTCAAATGGTGTGGAAAATAAGGGAGGTTGCAGAGAGTGGGAAGGGATCATGGATGAACATGGGGTTAAAATGTCATCTCAATTGACAACTTTGCCATTTCGTCATTGGGAATGCTACTTCTTAATATCCCTTTTGATTTTATTGAATCTTAAATTTTTTATTTCATATGCGTTTTGATCCGATTTAATATTAATAAAGTTTTATTTTAATGTTATATCGATAAAAATAAGTTTTTTATATCTTGTTCCACATAAAAATCATGTCAAACACGAAATAAAGATCCATGTTTTATTATGTCATATCCTAAGTGCTCTAGCATCTTCAACATAATTTTTTAAGTTTTTTTTTTAAATGGAGAATTAAAAATTTAAAGCCTTTAAAATAAATTATATTAACTTTAACAGATTTTTTATTTTATAGATTTTATTATTAATTATTTTATTTAAATATTTTATAATTTTATGATTCATATACACTTTTTAAAAAAGTTTTATATAAGATGATATTAATTCAATCCTTATTTTAAAATATGTTAGAAACATTTGTTTTATAATAATTAATTAAAAAAATAATTTAAATATTTTATAATTTATACTATATTATAAAGCATTTGACAAAAAATTTTAAAACTATTTTTTATGCATGAAGTACTATATAATGATGCATATTATTTAAATTCAACAAGTAAATTATACATAAATACAACTTAATAAAGCTTTCATGTTTGAATTCGTGTAACTAACTGCGGATAAACGTAAACAAATAGAGGATAAACATCTCATTTTAATATATAAAATATCATTAAGATAATTATCGAGCTCTAACAAAATAACTAATTATTATTTTTATAAGAAGATTATATTAATAAATCAAATATAAATTACTTCGTTATTGAATCTAAATTAAATTATCTAAAAAATTGAATTAAAAAATTACACAAAAAATGAGAAATTTTAAATAGTTAATTTGATACTAATATCGATATATTTTTGTTAAATTTATATTTTATTCAAAAAAAAAACATTATCGCTTTCAAAATCACATAAGACCATATTATAACATCGACTGAAATAAATAATAAAATAAAATATTAAAAATGAAGATGTATTTCACTGCATTACATGAGTATCCTTCTAGTTATCTATACTATATTATAAAGCATTTGACAGAAACTCTTAAAAACTACTTTTTATGCATGAAGTACTGTACATTGATGCATATTACTTAAAATTTCAGATTACAAGTAAATTATGCACAAGTACAACTTATTAAAGCTTCATGTTTGAATTTGTGTAAATAACTACAAATAAACATAATCAAATAGAGGATAAACATCTCATTTTAAGAATATAAAAAATCTAAAATATAATTAGGATAATTATCGAGTTCTAACAAAATAATTAATTATTATCTTTATAAGAAAATTATATTATTAAACCAAATATAAATTACTTCGTTATTGAACCTAAATTAAATTATAATAAAAAAATCGAAGACAAAAATTAAGGAATTTTAATTAGTTAATTTGATACTAATATCGATATATTTTTATCAAATTTTTATGATATCTTCAAATTTATATTTTATTAAAAATAAAAACATCATCGTTTTTTCAAAATCACATAAAACCATATTATAACATCGACTGAAATAAAWAATAAAATAAAATATTAAAATCAAGATATATCTCGTTGCATTCCACGCATCCCTCTAATTTATAAATAATAAAGTTGAGTATCATCCCAAAATCTCTTATAACTTTTGGATACAATGGTGAATGGCGCATGAGTTGCCAATATCGACTTACAAAAACGGGGGCATCAAGGTAAAAACGTATAAGGGCAAAATGGTAAATAATTGGGGATGGGCAATGATTGAAATGAAGATATAAAGAAGACAAATAAACTGTGGGGGAAGAACGTGGAGCCGGAAATCGGGGAAGACAAGTGGACATTGTCATACTGCCAAGGTGGCACCACCAACCAACGTGATTGGTCCCACGTATCTACGTGTTACCCCAACCACCATAACTAGCTGTCATAACGTGCACCGTAATGTTACCCTTATCGACGGTCTCAAATGATGTTCACAAATCAATCCTACCCGTTACTTTTTTCCAATTCAAATGCGAATTTATTAATAAAAAACTAATTATAGAAATCAACAAACTCCCTTCAAAAACAATTTTTCCCATTAGGATTTGAAAAATAAAAATAAACTCAGGATTTGTTTGGATCATACTAAAAAATGGAAATGACAGAAAATAAAAATGAGAATGAATTTTCAATCCTTTAATTTTAACCAGGAATAAAATTTTGGACTTCTACGAGAATAATCTCATTGTATTATAGAAAATCAAACAGTTTCTTTTATTTTCATTCTCCTTGATTAGTGTCTAATACCTCTAATTAAACACCTTAAAATTTGAAGGGATAATTATGGTCTTAGACCATATGTAGGGGCCGTTTAACAAACGTTTACCTGGGTAAGTGCTTACCGCTTACCGAATGAATATGACAAAAGCTAATAATCTTACCCGGTAAAAACGAAGACAATAATCGAGAGTCTTACCGGTAAGTGAGGACGAAGATTCTTACCATGTTTAACGCTTACCGGGATAAATTGTTGCATACGATGCATTTTAGTGAATAAAATCTTACCCGGTAAATAAACGATAGTGTTAAATTTTACCCGTAAATGCTTACCGGATAAGTGTTTAGGTAAACGGCCTCTTACTCACAATCTAAACAACCAAATCGTGAACAAAACAAAAAGAGATTTTTTAAAAAAATAAAATGAAATAATTATGGTTACAATCTGCGGTAATCCTTCTCATCCCACGACTTAAGATTGAGAAAATTGTTTGTTTGAGATTACCACATGGCACCATGTTATTGGTCAAGTGATTCATTTTTTTAGAATATGATTTTAATTATTAAAAAAAACCAAAATTCATATATTTTTTTAATTTGCTACGAATAAAGATCAATATAATTGTATTTTCATTATACTAGTCTTTCTTTCTATTTCAATACTATTATTTATGTATTTCAGATATATAATTTCGTACTTGTTTTTATTTATTTTCAATTGTATGACAAGGTTTTTATACTTAAAATTAAAAAAAATTATTATATATGATGAAAAATAAATGTATAATTTTTATAAAATAATATTTTTATACTTAAAATTAAAAAAAAATATTATATATGATGAAAAATAAATGTATAATTTTTATAAAATAATATTTTAAATTGGATTGGATCAAACTATCTAAAATAAGATTTTAGGGATTTTTATTTGCTACAGATTATCCAAAATCTAATTTTAAAACGAAAAAAATATTAAAAAAGCAATCAAATGCAAATGTGTTGTTTTCAAGTTTCTAAAATAACAATGTAAATGACAAAAATGTCCTCAAAAGTTTGAAAATGATTTACTAATTTTGAGGGTGTTTTTGTATATTTTAGATTATAACCCAAACTGGCATAAAATGACCCTTTTGCCAACCGGGACAACTTGATAATTTTGGAGTTCATAGAATAATTTGTCACCATGCAAATAAGAGCACATGCATTTTCCTTAAAAAAACAAGATATTAATATAATTAATAAAAAAATAGATGGTTATATTTAAAAACATTTTATTAATACTTTAAAATAATAAAATTATTATTTTTGCTTGGATTTTTATTTTATTTTCCCGTTAAAAAACAACGCCATCTTTTTCTCCCATGTGTTAATTGTCAACAATTTTCTTTTATTATTATGATATTGAATTGGAAATATAAACGATAAAAACTCTGAAAAATAAATCTAATTTTTGAATTAAACTATTAAAAATAAATATAAATATAAATATAAATATGATATATTATTGGACTTATAAATAAGATGTAAAATTAAGAGTAAACTAAAAATTTGGTCCCTGTGGATTATTGTTTGTAACATTTTTAAAACCATGCAGTTTTGATATTATGGTTTAGTCCCTGTCTCTAATGGTTGTTAAAAAATCCTGGTAGATGAGGGTATTTTAGTCTTTTTAAAATTAAATCAATCCCCTCCCCGATTTTTACCTCCGATTACCCAAACCAAAAACTCTCTAGTCACCACTCCAGTTGCCACGACATGCAACATCTATAATCATAGTTAAAACCAGGGTACCACCTTAGCTCCCTTTTCACTAGACATTAATAAAATGTAACATCTTAATAGTTCCATTAAGAGGCAGATTCTGAATCGTTAAGAGGTGAATTTTATTTTGAAAAAAAAAAAAACTTTACCTCTTAATGGTTCTAAAACTCTCTGAATAATTTTGTATCCTAGGCCTCCCTTAACCATTAAGCACTATAATTTCATTATAAACAATTACCAAACAATTATATTTTCTTTTGCACTATATCATGAGAGTCTCTTAATCATTTTGATCACTTAATCATTATGCACCGAACCATTCAACAACTGCCAAACAACTATACATCCGCAAGTGTCACAACCGTAACTTACGAAGGGGATGTTTTTAAAAACACAATCACAACAAAACGTCAAATTGATCCACCAAACTTTGAAAACCGACTTGTATACATCCATAAATACACATGCAAATGTACACTTTTACCCTTCATAATACATTTGTGTCCAATTTTACCCCTTATGTTGTTTGGCATTGCTAGAAATCGACATGTGTACTTCCATAACACATGTCACCATTCAGTTTTTACATCACCACCTTACATATGTACATTAATATATCAACCAAATTTAATTTAATAATTAGATTTATTTAACTTTTTATAAAACACCGTCCCAGGTTTTTTTATTTTATTAATTTGGATATCTAACTCGCTATATAAGCCAACTAATTCTAGGACGACCACATATTTTATAGACGGAGTCACCGCATTTAAACCTTTATGGCCACAAGGGATATCAAAGACCTTCAGCCACTTTTGACCTTTGTAACTCAAACTCAAACCAATAAGACACCACCCTTATAATTCCCCTCCACAAGTTGCAACCTAGGTAATTTGCAAAGGTATTGCTTTTTTGATAAGTTCGGGATAGAATAATTAGGAGGTGAAAAATGATGATTAAAATGGCTATTTATGATAATTTCATTTATTATGAGTATCATAAGTTACGATTTATTGTATTTTTATTAGAGTAAAATGCACAAAATAGCAATCTACTTTCATAAATTTCTTTATTATAGCATTGTACTTCTAGTTTTTCTTATTACAGCGATATACTTTCAAACTATTTTTTATTAGAACATTGTACTTTGAAAAGCTTACTCATTATAGCATTGGGTAACCTTTTGATTTAAATTTACCCATTGTACCAGGTTTCCATGCCACCTCATTGTCCACATGTACGTGATTTTCTTATTACAACATTGTACTTTCAAAATTATTTTATTATAACATCTACTAGTTCTTATTAAATAATATACATCTAATTTTAATATTTATATATTTTTCATGTTATTTAATAAATATTGAATTAAAAAATTTCTAAATTATTCATTAATACACCAATATTAATAAAATTTGTATAAGACAACTTATCTCGTTAATATTTTTCAAAAAATGTGTTTTTCGAAAAAATAAAATAAGAATTGTTCTTTTTTTCCCCAAAAAAATTATCTTTTAAAGAATATATCATATTTGTTCAAAAACTTATAAATATATTAAATTAATTAGATTTTTTTGAATTATTTATTAATATAACAAAATTAAAAAATTGTTGAACACAATTTATTCCGTTAACATTTTAGAGAGAACTTTAAAATGTATGTATTTTTTTTAACAACATAAAATAAGAAGTATTAACTTTTTTATTAAAAAAAAGTATCTCGAAAATAATGTTGCATATTTATTTAAGAAATATTTTACTATATAATATTTAATTTACATGCAACTTAATAAGAAAAAGTCAAAAAAATTAAATGTTTTTTTTTAAATCATAGTAATGGAAAATAAAAATCACTAATAATAATTTGAAATAGATTTTTATTTTTATTTTAATTAAGTCATCAAAATAATGATATGTCATCCACATCACCTCATTAAAGCCACACAAACAAAAAAGTCAAAGGGTTAACTGGTTTAAAAGGTAACATGTCACCCATTGCTATAATGGGTAGATTTTTTAAAGTACGACGCCTTAATAAAAAATAATTTGAAAGTACATTGCTGTAATAAAAAAAACAAAAGTAAAATGCTATAATAAGAAAAATTACGAAAATAGGTTGCTATTTCATGCATTTAACATTTTTTATTATGATTTTTTTAAAATAAAGTATTTAGCGTTGCTGTTGGAAATACTCTTTGAGCATCTCCAACAAAAATTTCGGAATTTTCTAAAATAAAGATACATTCAATTCCAACAGATTTTACATTTTAAATACTACAACATCGATTATATTATTAAAATGTTCATTTCATCTGATAAAATATATAGATTTAACCTTTTTCCATTCTTTAAAATATACCGTTTTGAGTTATGTTTAAGGCTAACTTTTAGTATCAATAAATACGGTTAATATTAGGAAAATTAATTATAATAATCATTTTATCATGTGAATTTTTTCTCTTAGTCATTTTTCTCTTAAAATAACAAAAATAGTTATAGATCCATAACTGGATGCCCGTAATTCACTGAGGTGTTAAAGTGTAACAAAAAAAAAAGTTTCTCCCCTGCAATTTACGGATCTTGTTCATATACTTCTTTTTTTTCCTTACACTTTGAAAGAAAAATGACCAATAAGTGAAATTATATAATTAAAATAACTATTTTAATTAATTTTTTAAAATATTATTATTTTATATCCAAAATAACTCGTATAAATAGAATATTAAATGGAAAAACAAGTTGGGCTAATGATTACTAAACATGAAGGCTATGCATCACCTAATTTTATGACCTCAAACATGAACCATCATAAAAGAGATAACCTCCAACATATTTTTTTAAATAAAAAAATTGGGGTAAGGATTATTTATTTAAACACTTATCAGTAAACGTTTATAGATAAGATTCAACACGATTATTTACCTTATCGGGTAAAATTTTTGTCCCTTAAGAGTCAAGACTATAGTCGTCATCCTCATTTACTGGATAAGACTCTCGGTTTTTGTCATCGTCTTTACCAGATAAGATTTTATGTATTTACCATATTCATCCGGTAAGATAATATGATTTGGTAATTTTTTGCTCGATAAATAGCCTCTAAATTTGAAAAACTTCACAAAAATACTTACCACAACAATAGAAAATAAATGTTTTATTAAATGTTTAGAAAATAGAAATAGTATTTTATTAAATGTAAATATTATTATAATAGGGTTGCAATCAATTGCATCTGTCCTATATTCATACAAAGTTACAAACTAATCTCAATAGTTTATCTAGATTAATGAATATTTGGTTTCATGAATATTTCGTTTCTTTCATAATTTAAAGCGTTAATCATAATAAATGAACGTGAATTATTTTCCATTAATATCATAATGATAATACAGTAAACAAACCATGGTAAAAGCTTTACCATTGTGGGTCCCACTTTTTTAATGATTAGAGTTTCACATGAACGTGTGTGGAGGGTTTGCTACAGTGATTCGGGTGGTTGGGTGGCCCCTTCGAGAGTTGCGGAGCTAGGTCTGAACAAGTCAGAATTGTCTCAATTCCAGAAGTCACATCTTTCAGTACTCAGACTCAAGTCAAGTACTTTCGAGCCCAAGTCTCGCCGGTGTTACCTGTAGGTCGTGATGTGCCTTGAGATGGCCGTTCATCCCAAACAAAGCGAAGGCTTCCGGTCAGGAAGATGCAGATAAGGAATCAAGCAACCCCCTCTTAATATTAGGTTTATTTAAAAGCCTTACTCCAGTATATCACTGGCAGTCCTTCGTGAATGGGGCATGCATCCCTTTTTCTTCGCTCCCGGTACAAAATTGTTCCATTAGGGTGCGTTTGGTACGTTGGACAGGGTGGGACAGGACATGACAGAACACAATTGTCCTATGTTTGGTGTGGTTTTATGTGGGACTAACTAGAACAAACTAGAACAAGGGTGGGACAAGGTTGTCCACCCTTTACCCATGGAACTAAGTAGAACAAGAAACTTTTTACCACTTTACCCTCAAAAACCTCATACGCATACYTTCCTTCTTCCCCTTCACTCTCCTCTCCTCCATCGCTTCCACCGCTCAACCGGCGACCGGTGACGGCGACTTCCGATGGCCGCCGCCGCTGCTTCTCCGATGGCCGCCGC